CTTCTCCATCTTTGGCTGCAGAGAATATAATCAATCTGATTTCGGTATTGCCCATTTGGTGATTTCCATGTGTAGAGTCGCCTCTTGTGTTGTTGGAAAAGAGTGTTTGTGATATTACTGTAATTCTCTTGGCAAAACTCTATTAGGCTTTGTCCTGCTTCATTTTGAATTCCAAGGCCAAACTTCCCTGTTGTTTCTTTTATCTCTTGGCTCCCTCCTTTAGCATTCCGGTCCCCTAGAATGAGAAGAACATCTTTCTTTGGTGTCAGTTCTAGAAGGTGTTGTAAGTCTTCATAAAATTGGTCAATTTCAGTCTCCTCAGCATTGGTGGTTTGTGTATAAAGTTAAAGTATTTTAGCTTTCTGTATTTTATGTGTTTTATGATGTATATCTGTTAATTTGCCTTACTACTTCATCATTGGTAACCCTCTTTATCCAATACATTTTAGCTTCCTGTAATAAATGCATGTCAAATACCTCTGGGGTTTTTTTGTACAGGAGCCTATGTTAAAGTCAATGATGTCATGCCACATAGTAGAACCAGTTGAGGTATTTTAGCTTTCTGTATTTTATGTGTTTTATGATGTATATCTGTTAATTTGCCTTACTACTTCATCATTGGTAACCCTCTTTATCCAATACATTTTAGCTTCCTGTAATAAATGCATGTCAAATACCTCTGGGGTTTTTTTGTACAGGAGCCTATGTTAAAGTCAATGATGTCATGCCACATAGTAGAACCAAGAACAGACTGCACCATATGATGTGCCAGTTACCAAAGCCAAATTTAACTTTTTGTTAACTCCAAGATGTTTACACTTGTTGACACACTCCATGATTTCATTTTGGATTTTCAGCTGCAGTTCTTGGACTGCTTATTTTTTATTAATTACCAATGAACTGGGTCTTTGTAACTTTCATTCTGAGACCTTTTCAGACCCTACTCATTTATTTTATCCAATAATCTCTGCAACTATCTGAACTGTGAGCAATACTGTACAGTATGTGGTAAAATAACATTTAAAAAAACTGAAGGTGGCATTTGAAAAGTTGAACCAGTAATGTCCCCTCGCCAAATATATATTTCTATTAAACATGTTTGCAGCAGGATCTTTTTCTGTTATGGGTGTTTTTGAGAGCTGATTAGGCAACAAAGCAAAGGGGATTGATTTCCTTGTGAACAAACCAGTCCTGCATAATACATGGTATTTCATTCAGATTGCTGGCCCAGGGAGTCCTTGCTTGTCAGTACTGTCTTACACATGTCCATTCAGAAACATGTCCCACTGAATTTAGTAAGACTCATTCCTATGCATAAAAAATGCATATATTATATTTCACAACTTACACACTGTGAATCACTCTTTGAATGAACCTGGATTTCACTATTAAAGAAGAACAAAAAATGTTTTTCCTCCTTAGAAGTGTGTGGTGAGATAGCTAAAGTATACACATTCTCTTTATTAACTGGGGCCGTGGTGGTGCTGCGGGTTAAACGGCAGAAGCCTCTGTGCTGCAGGGTCAGAGGACCAGCAGTCGTAAGATCAAATCCAGGCTATGGAGTGAGCTCCCATCGCTTGTCTCAGCTCCTGCCAACCTAGCAGTTCGAAAGCATGCAAATGCGAATAGATAAATAGGTATCACATCGGTGGGAAGGTAACAGCGTTCCGTGTCTACTTGTGCTGGCCACGTGACCACGGATCCTGGCTTCGGACAAACACTGGCTCTACAGCTTGGAGACGGAGATGAGCACCGAGCCCTAGAGTCGGACACGACTGGATTAAATGTCAAAAGGAACCAAATGGTGTAGTGGGTAAAATGACAGACTAGGAACAAGTGGTGTAGTGGGTAAAATGACGGACTAGGACTCAGGAGGCCTGGGTTTGAGTCCATGCTTAGCCATGAAGGTAAAAACACTGCTAAAATATCTCACTTAACCTTGAAAGCCCTGTTTCAACATGATAGCAGATAACAACATCCCTGACTTTTACACCAGACAGAGCACAGAGTTCTGACTCCTATCCTCTGAAGATGCCGGCCAGAGACTGGTGAAGCGTTAGGAAAAAAAACCTTAAGAACATGGCCAAACAGCCCGGAAAACCCACACCAACCATTTTACAGCAGACATGGGGAATATTTGGTCCTCCAGACACTTGTAACTGTCATCAGCTAACCACACACAAACGAGAGTGAGGGTTTGCAGTAGTTTTCGCCCAGATTACAGCAGACATGGAGAATATTTGGTCCTCCAGACACTTGGAACTTGTAAATTTCATCAGCTAACCACACACAAACGATAGTGAGGGTTTGCAGTAGTTTTCGCCCAGAAGATGTAGGAAAGGAAAGGTCCTCCTCGTGGCCTTTGCTACAGAGGAACGATGAGTAAATTGTGACCCCCTCCAGGTATTTGTTGGACTGCAGCTCCCGGCTATGGGGCATAAACTGATAGGCATTGTAATCCAATTCTTATTCGTCCACCTGCATTTTACAGCAGCAACCCTTAAAAGGGAAGCAAAAGAAGAAGTTAAAAACAAAATAATCGATATTTTTTTAAAGTGCGGGGGGAAAAAGATACTGTACACATGGATCCAATCTGACGCATCTTTACCTCTTAGCGCACCGATCTATAATTTCTAGGTCAATTTGAAAGAAAAAACACAAGCACCCAAAAACCACACACCTAGTTTTAAAACTCCGCCAGAAAAGAAAACCCTACACACTACGCCACGCTCCAACCCGCCCTTTCCCTTTTTAAAGGGGCTGGTAATTGACGACCTTGCTCTCTGAAAGTTCCCGGCAAGCCGTAGGGAGGGGAGGAAAGGGGCGGGGTTAACTCTGCCGCTGCGCTGATTGGCCAGGAGCTTCGATTTGAACGGGGCGCGGGGCCGATTTCACCCCCGTGGCTTTGCTTCGTCTAGTTGCGGTGGAGCCGGTTGTGGGCAGAAGAAGATCCGGTACCGGCGGGTGGGTGATGCATGTGCAGAGTTCCCGGGTATTTTATTTATTTGTGGAAGCGACGAGAGGGGAGTTTGGTTGGTGTGGAGCACGTGTCTGGAGAGGGTGGGCTCGTTTTGGGGAGCAGGGTGGCTAGTTATGCAATTAAAGCTGTGTTTACACGGCAAATCGAAGCGTCTCTTGGACCGGTTTACGGCTATAATTCCGCATCCATTCAGGAGCACTTTAGGGTCGTAATTCTGTGCCGTGACGGAAGTTATTATTTTGCGGCTTTCATAGATACCAAGGCCCCAGCTCGGTGCTGGACGGTCACAGTCCTGAGCAATTAAGCCGGTTTTAAATTCCGTTTTAAGGTTTAACTTTTGCGGACCCCGAGTGGGCAGGTGGGTTGGCTTGCGAGGGGGGGCAGTTGGTGTCGTTTAAAACAGTAGTCCCCAACCTTGGGCCTCCAGATGTTCTTGGACTACAACTCCCAGAAGCCTTCACCACCACTTTTGCTGGCCAGGATTTCTGGGAGCTAAAGTCCAAGAACATCTGGAGGCCCAAGGTTGGGGACTACTGGTTTAAAAGACAGAGCGACAATCGGGAGATTGTGACCTTTCTGAGGTTGTTGGATTGGAAAGCCCATCAGGTGTGGCTCAGGATAACCTGTGGTAGGGGATGATGGGAATTGTAGTATACTATCCGAGGCACTGTATGTTTCCAGCCCTCGTTTAACGCCTGTTAAGCTATTGTGTAGTTCTACGTCTGAAGAATAGGGTCTGCCTTGAGGAAAAGACATCCTGAGCCGGCATTAACTCTTTGCAGATCAATTTTGTGTGAATGTTAGCTGCAGTTGCAGTAAGATGCGTACAGTATTTAGGAACTGTTTGCATAACAGTATCTATATAGGTACACAGGCACTGCCCCAAGAGGCATGCAACAGAAAACAAAACACTACAAAGATGATAAAGGGGAGATAAATGAGTTGTGTATTACCACCTCCCCCCATGTTTGTGTCTGGAGTAAGGCAGTTCTGATTAACTTTGTGACTTCTGTATCTTCAGCAAGTGGAACAAAATGTCTTGAATTGTATTCTTGGCAGGTGAATGCAGGGTGACCCTAGGATTAGGAAGACTGGCATGTGAAAGATATGGGATGAGTGTATTGATGGACTTTCAGCTTTCAGAGGTTCTCTCAGGAGACAATTGAGTGATGTATAATTAAGTGTGTCTGAGCCTTGTAGTTGCATGAAACAGAAAAATCTTATTTCAGATTTGCATGATTAAAAATGCACCTCGCTGTGAGCTAATGCTGGCAGATAGCAAAGTTGTACCTGTATGTGGTGAAAACTATAGAATAGATGGAAATCTGTCTTGCTTCTTTGTTTGATATAAATTGGCACGGCTGGGCTATTTTGCTTCATGGCTTCGCAGCTGATGTCAGCCAGTCTTTGCCACTGGTGTGCTTGAGCCCATTGTTTGGTTGTAAATAAATCTTTTTGTGGTAGGACTGTAGGAGAGACGTGACTCAAAGGGAGGGAAATGATTTTGAACCTGCAAATAGATAGGAATGGGAGAGACAGGTATATGCTAGGAACAGGCTAGGAGAGAAATGAGTACCTGTCTATTTAATAAAATTGCATATGTTTATTACTGAACATATAAGATACATTGGTAACAAATAATAATAATTATGCGATACTACATATATTCTTCCCTTCATAGGATGCACGATGAAGCTCCTTAAAGGTCTAGATTTTGTGGCACAGACCAGCACTCCTGAAGAAACTCTGGCTTTGCTGTCAGAGCTGAAGGTAAGGCTGCAAAATGGATACTTAGGCATTAACTGGCTTAGGTGGTTTTTAAAAGCCACTCAATTCTAAAATCGCAGAATGGTAGCAATTCACAGTATCTCTGAACCTGGCGGTTTTATCTTGTGGGCTGAACACTGCTAAAAATCAGGGCTGACCTAAAACATGTTGCTTTCTAATGCAATCTGCTGCCTTAGGAAACTCAGAACAAGTCACCTGGCATGTGTTGTTTCATCCTTGAGTAGAGAGGAACACCCCAGAGGCTACTGTCTTTGCTTCCTGGACGCTGTTGTGCAAGGTTACTGCTCTACTCTGCCTAATGTCAGGTCCAGTCTTAGAAAAAAATAAATGCTGGAAATAATCCTGAAGGCCAAAGCGGTGACCTATCACCATGCAAGGTATCATTGGCCTATAAACTCCCATCAGTGGCTATGCTGGCGGGGAACGATAGGAACTGATGTCCAACAGGAGTGGGAGGGAGACTCAGATTCACCACAACTGCAGGATTTTCTGCATTATTGAATTGTTGATGCAGGGTTTAGTGGATGACTGCCACGGGTGTTTAGCAGTCTGTCTGTGGGGTGATTGCACAAGGAGAAGAAAGTCAATGTATTCGCGAAGGCTTTCACAGCCGGGATCTAATGGTTGTTATGGGTTTTTTAGGCTCTTTGGCCGTGCTCTGAAGGTTGTTCTTCCTAACGTTTCGCCAGTCTTTGTGGCCGCCCACAGAGACTGGCGAAACATTAGGAAGACCAACCTTCAGAACGTGGCTAAAGAGCCAGAAAAGCCCAAAACAACCAGAAGAAAATCAATTTCTGCATTGCCCCAGTAGGAGTCTGGACTTGGTATTTGGTATTGGAGGTTCTGTTTTTAGATCCTCTTCTTGTGCACAACCTCGCTCAACTCTTTACAGCTTTTGAAACTAAGAAATGTAAATTCTGCCCCACCCTTCTATCTTTTTTTAAAAGACTGTAAGCTGACACTCAAGGACTTCTCTTAATTTCAGGAATATCTCATCTGTGGGACACAAAATGCTGATAGTGCAAGCCAAGCCTCCAAACGGAGCACAGTATGTGATCGGATCCTGCGAGCTTGCATCCAGAGATTTGGGGCAGGTTTGGACTGCCCTGTTCACTGCAGAAACCTCCAGGCCTTAGCTGAGATGGCTTATCATGGCTACGTTGCTGCAAGGTCGCAGTATGTTCCCCTCTACTTGGAGAGATTGCTTTACCATGTGCTGAGGGGTGTCGCTGCTTGGGGCCCATCCGATGGCTGCCTCAAATTTGCCACTCTCCTGTATGCTGAATTATCAAAGTATCAGCCGCCTCAGGTTCCAGCTGATGACTACATATCTATTGTCAAAAGTGCCTTTAGCTTGCTCTGGAAGAGTGCGGATGTTGTGGCCAAGACGGACAAGACTCCTGCAGAGTTCAGGGCTATGCTGTCCACCTATTTGCGAGCAGTCCGTTTTTTGGTCCTTCTGGAGCACAACACCTTTGTCCCCTTTTCCCAGGAGCCTCCGTTCTTTACCTCCACGGTCGCTCGGCATGCTTCGGCCACCGCTGTTCTGTTTGAGGGCCAGCGAAGCCCACTGAGCAAGGAAGAGGCCTGTTTCCTCAGCGACCAGTTCTCCCACCATCTTGTTGCAGCCCTGCTGGAAAGAACAGATGAGGAAGAGGCTCTGGCCTTCCAGGATTGCCTTTGTGTCTTTGAGCTCACCCTCATTAGGTCCCGTTACCTTTGCAAAAGTGGCTGCTTCAGAGAGAGCAAGGAAATACTGCAGCAATGCAGTGGCTACTTGAGAAAATCCATTGACCTGAAGCATTGCTTTAGTAGCCCCTTAGAGGTTCTCTCAGCTGGAGTTGGAGTGAACCAGGTATTGATGCTCAGCGAGGGTTTGGTAGACCTTTTCTTTATCAAGGCCGCTGAGGCTTTAAAGACTTCGTCAGATGCGGAAGAGCCCTTGCTTAGACTGCTGGCTGAAAGCTGCCAAATGCTTATAACCCCCTTGTATGGACATGTGAGAAAAAGTCAATGGAGGCCCTTCAATTCACAAGAGACTCTGGGGATCTGTGTCTTTATGGAAAATTACTTCAGGTTGCTCAAAAAACTTACAGGCATGGTAAGTACAACCTATAGCCCTGCACTGATGCAGTGAGGGCCGAAGCACATGGTTGCTACTGAAAAACTCATAGATGAATGGGTAGATGGATTGAAAATAGTTTTACCCCAACCTCCTCCAAGGTGGCTTACTACATTAAATGATAATATTTAAAGCTAGAAACAGTAAGTATAGAAATATTTTAAAAGATTAGGAGGTGGGGGGGTGGGAGTTAGGTGTGCCTTGTTACTTGGCTATCATGAGGCCCGGAAATTCCTTTCAGAAGTGGATTCTGTTGCATTTGGTGTGTGTAGCGTAGTCAGTTTTTCACCATTTAAGCATTCTGCGCTACCTACGAAGTGTGCCTGTTTTTCACATGTCTTCTCTGTGGCATTTCACACTGAAGGCGAGGTTATAGCTTTGTAAATACGGCAAAGCATGATAAATTTCTACCGACATTAGGGCATCCCTTGTGCATCTGTTCTAAACGCAACGCCTCTTTGATCAGGGCTCTCAGCCAGTTGAAGACGGGATAACCATACACAGGCACAGTGTGAGACCAAGTTTCTCTGTCTCGCTTTTCCTTCACAGGTTTCATCAGACAATGTGAAACAGAAACAAGCTCTGAAGAAACTGATGTATAATTATTTCCAATTGTTCACAACAATAGTATACGATTCTCTTCAGACTCTACAGGTATGGGGAAAAGATGGGTGAAATCTGATCCACAGAATCTTGGACAGGCAAAAGGAACCCTGTTTATGTATTTAAGATTAAGTTGTCAGAATAAGTTTTTATAAAATTTCATGTCCTTTAAATGTCAGTGTAGCAGAGGGTCTTTGCTGCCTCAGTAGGGGAGCATCTGCTTTTCATTCATAAAATAAAATGATAATCATTTCTTGTCAAATTGTCTTAATAGCTTGTGCTTGGAGAGGGGCTAAACTGCTGCCAGTGGGTTGAGTTGCTTCTCCCTTTAGAGTAGGTTCTGGGCTGAAGGGACTGTCCCTTGACAGGGCATGGAATTATTTTGATCTCTTGACTGGAAGGCTTAAGGAATCTGCCTCTAGATCTTGTTGAATTACAGCCCTCATCAGCCATGGCCAGAATGGCCAATAGGGAGAGGGATTTGGGGTATTGTCGTCCAGCATTTGTAGGGTCAGCTCTCCAACCCTGGCCTACTGCCACCTCTGAACCAGTCTTCCCCTCAGGATAGGTCACACAACCTGGAGGAATTGTAACTCCAATCAGCCCCTGCAGGTGTGGCTACTCAGTAGGGGACATGAGAATCGGAGTCCAGAATATCTGGAAGGACTCATCTTGGTAAAAACTGCCTTGGGAAAGGTACCCATATCTACTCATGCGAAGTCTTCTCTTGGTAGAAAACAGATGTGGCTCTGCTATTTTTCGGTACACACCCTTTACTATCAGCAAAATGAATGAGAGCAAGGATGATGATTAGGACTTACAATTGGATGTCCAAAGAATGGGCATTCAGTTCCTTCATGCACGACATTTCTGCATATAATATCTATTAGTGAAAACAGCCTCGTGCTCTGCTGTCCAAAATGTTGTATGAGCATTTATTCCTGGCAATCTTTAACAAAGCATCTTTAACAAAACAGAGGTAAAAAGGATATAATGGCTTAAGCCTTGCGTTCTAAATGAATGTTTGACTGAAAGAGAATCTATGAAGGAACTAAAATACAAACGTGTAAAGTTGTGTCACCCCCGTTTCTGTTCTTAAAAACTATGTTGTTCCTTGCAGAGACCCGAGTGTCCTGGGTTGCCACAGCTGTTGGTGTCTCTTCAAACAACCGTTACCTTGATGCTGGATATGCTAGAAGATCTTAATGAGAAGGAGGAGGCTGAACACCTGGATCTCTCAGGTTGGTATCAAAGACTGATGAGAAGCAGCAGGTGAGCTGGTGGTGCAGTGCCCTGTTAGCTGGAGTCCATTTTCCTTCCTAATGAGGGAGAAGTAAAGAAGGTCTATCATTATGAGATCATAATCTCAGTTGGAGGGATTATAAGAACATGAGAAGACTTGCACTAGATGAGAGGAAAGAACGATCTTGCTTCACCTTAGCGTGTGGCTAAATAGTGAAGAATACAGGAAAGGAAGCATTTTCTTCACACGTTGGCCAACCAGATATCTCCGAGAAGTGCAAAAGCAGAAGAGGAACATAGTGGCTCCTTCTCCAGCAATTGGCATATCACATCTGGTACTAGAAATGGTGCATAGTCCTTGTGACTTTTAGCCACTGACAGCCTTATCTTCCTTGAACTTGTTTCATCTACTTTTAAAGCTGACCAAGGTGGTGAACCTCGCTACATCCCGTAGTATTGAATTGACTGTGTACTGTGTGATGAAGGACTTCTTTTTTCTATGCTGAGTATCCCATTGTTTAGCATCATAGATTAGTTTAGGATTTTAATATTATGAGAGAGGGACATAGCGTGGTGATGAGCAAAAGCTGCTGACCTTTCCCTCTTCTGAAAATTTCTCTGGCTTACATTTGAATCCACAATATCTGGATGATAAACAATTACAGCTTATTTGAACTTGTCCTCCTTCGAAGCACAATGGGCAGGTCTCATGCAAAGGAACTTCCTCTTGGAAGCTTACTGGAGCCAAAGAGATGAACTTGTAGACAACGTGGTAGACCTCTGACAAGAACTGACAGTATAAAATCTGTTTGTTTTCTCCTAACAGCCTACTGTGTGTCCCGGCTAGCATATAGCTTCTACTCTCATAAGATGTATACGGAATCTAACTCCATAGCAGAGCTCTTCTGCAGATGGTTGGCCAAAGAAGAGCTTTCCAAATGTCCAGGCATACTTACGGAAAAGGTAACTGATTATTTTCTTCCTGGCATCATAAGCTGGCACAAAGGATGTTCGGGAGACTCTCAAAATATGCAGTTAGGAAGATGCTTCTGCTACTTGAGCTTGGAAGAGACTCTTATTTTCTATGACGAAAATGAATAGGCAAGAAGTAGAGCAACCATTAAACATGGGTTTTAGACCGGCCAGCCAATTTAATGACAGATCCCATAGTATCATGATCCCTTAGTTGTGGATATGCTGGCTGGGGCTGATGGAAGTTGCAGTCCAACAATATTTAGAGGACCACATGCTCCTCACCTGCGATTTGCAGTAAATTCAGTGGGTACTGTATTACTTTTGTGAGTAAACAGAGGATCAGCTGATGTTCCCAAGTTGTCCTTGCCTCCTCACTAAGCATCCTAAGCATCTAAACCCAGGCCTAAGCCCAGTGTTCAACCCATTGCAACAAGATTTATTTACAAGATTTTTTTTAGAGACGCCATTACTAGTGGTCTCTGAGCGGCGTACAACCATATTAAAACATTTAAACCATTAAAAGTAGGTAATATTAAAATACAGTGGTGCCTTGCTTTGTGATGTTAATCCGTATAGCAAAAATCGCTGCTAAGCGATAACATCGTGCTAGATTTATTTATTTATTTACACGTGTGTTTTTTTAGTGACGCCATTACCAGTGGTCTCTGAGCAGCGTAGATTTATTTACAAGATTTTTTTTAGAGACGCCATTACTAGTGGTCTCTGAGCGGCGTACAACCATATTAAAACATTTAAACCATTAAAAGTAGGTAATATTAAAATAATACCCTATATTAAAAACACTCACTAAAACATTAATATTAATAAATCCTGTTGCTCATATGGCCAGCTAAAGAATACTAATTAAAATGCTGCCTAAACAGAAAGGTCTTTGCCTGGCGCCGAAAAGCCAAAAATGTTGGAGCCAGGTGGATCTCTATAGGGAGGGCATTCCAAAGTTGGGGGGCAACAGCCGAGAAGGGCCTATTTCAACATGCCATCCCCCTCACTTCTTTCAGGGATAGCACCTTCAGAAGGGCCTCCTGGCCTGATCTTAGAGGACAGGCAGGCCCATATGGAAGAAGGCGGTCCTTTAGATATTCCTATGGAATCATCCAAAGTTTTTCACCATCAAAAGTTTTACTGATCTATAAAGCATAAGCTGATATCCTATATTAAAAACACTCAGTAAACATTAATATTAATAAATCCTGTTGCTCATATGGCCAGCTAAAGAATATTAATTAATTAAAATGCTGCCTAAACAGAAAGGTCTTTGCCTGGCGCCGAAAAGCCAAAAATGTTGGAGCCAGGTGGATCTCTATAGGGAGGGCATTCCAAAGTTGGGGGGCAACAGCCGAGAAGAGCCTATTTCAACATGCCATCCCCCTCACTTCTTTCAGGGATGGCACCTTCAGGAGGGCCTCCTGGCCTGATCTTAGAGGACGGGCAGGCTTGTATGGAAGAAGGCGGTCCTTTAGGTAACTAGGTACTAAGCCGTTTGGGGCTTTATATGTCAAAGTTAGTTGGAGGCCTGTGTTCTAATCTCCGCACTATCAGGGAGCAGGCTGGCTAGATGGGGCTCGTCAGCCTTGGAAGGCAGCCCATCTAGGAGAAGGAAAACTCATGTGACAACACTGAAGAAATGACACCTGGCTACAATGTAAAGCAGTGAGTATACAGCTCACTGGGTCAGATCATACTTCCACACTATTAAAGAGCAGACTGGGTAGGTGGGGCTCGTCAGCCATGGAAGGCAGCCCATCAAGGAGAAGGAAAACTCTGATTTCAAACCTCCACTGCCTTGTGGCTATATCCACTGATGGAAAAGGAAAACTGAAACTCATCCAATAAATTATGACATAGGTCCGGAGCACTGGACACAACCATAGGCTCTGCATCAACAGTGGAGTCCAATTGGAACAATTTCCCCCTCAAAGTGTGTAACAAATTCGTTACAGCATGCCACTGAGCAGTTCGGGACTTCCACCAAACCATTAGGCCGAAGAAAGTCCCGGACCACTTGAAATAGCTCTCCTGGATGGCACTCTGAGGAAGCGATACGACTGGAGAAATATGCCACTGAGCAGTCCAAGACTTCCACCAAACCATTAGGCCGAAGAAGGTCCTGGACCACTTGAAATAGCTCTGCTGGATGACGCTCTGAGGAAGCGATACGACTGGAGAAATACTGCCGTTTCACCAGCCGTAATGCCACAGAGAAGGCCCGA